TAACTTTTATTCTAAACTCACTATGTATGAAGCAATTCACAGCACATCTTTTATTCTTAGTTTGACATTTCAGAATAGATCATTGTAATAACTTCTGCCTTCTCTAGCATCAGTTACCACAGGTAATTTAACTTTCTGTAAGTATTCTTTGAAAGCAGAAACACACACAGTATTCTTTAAATTAACTAACAATGCTTTTTTAAAACAATTTTACTGACTGATACTTTGTGATTTGTGTACTATTAATAGGGCTGGAGTGATAGCACAGTGGGTAAGGCATTTGCCTTGCACGCGGCCAACCCGGGTTCGATTCCTCCGCCCTCTCAAAGAGCCCGACAAGCTACTGAGAGTATCTCGCCTGCACGGCAAAGCCTGGCAAGCTCCCCATGACCTATTTGATATGCCAAAAAAACAGTGACAACAAGTCTCACAATTTGTTGGAGATGTAACCATCCCAATTAAATATTTAATTAAATATTTAATTAAATATCAATTAAAATATTCTATTAAATATCACTTTCTGAGTATCTCATCAAATCTTCAAGATCTTATTACAATCTGTATTTACATTTTAGACCTTTTTATTCCATATTTCATACACCAGGGCTGGAGCCATAGCACAGCAGTAGGGCGTTTGCCTTGCACAAGGCCAACCCGGGTTTGATTTTTCTACCCCTCTCGGAGAGTCTGGCAAGCTACTGAGAGTACCTCACCTGCACAGCAGAGCCTGGCAAGCTCCCCATGGTGTATTCAATATGCCAAAAACAGTAACAAGTCTCACAATGGAAACGTTACTGGTGCCTGCTCCAACAAATCGATGAACAAAGGGAGGACAGTGCTACAGTGCTACAGTCATGCCCCAATTATTTGACTGAAAACTTTTACATCCCACATATTGATATCCTCTCTGTTTAATGGCTGGATCTAGAAACTCAATGTCAAATCTTTTTTTCTTGTTCATTCTACATTCAGTAGATCACCATATTTGATTGTTATGTATTTTCTATATATCCTTGGAATAAACATTCCTTCTCTATATATTACATTAGCCTAGGTATATGTCAAGCTATCATCTGTATTTTGCCTTGACCACTACATTAATCTTCTATATTCCATGCCATCAGGAGAGTTACCTTTCTAATACAAATGTATTTATATTCACCAGTCTGAAAAAAACTATACCCATAGAATGATTTTCTTGACATAGCCCATAAAAAGTCACATTATTTGTTTTCATTTTTATAAGGGTATACTCAGCAAAACTTGAACATACAGTGAGGTCTTGGTGAACACCTAAAGTCAGACACAGCAGTGCCCTGAAGTCACCAAGTTTAAATCTGATAGTGCTCAAGAATCATGTAGTGCTATGTATCTAACTTAGTTTCTTTGTATGACAAGCATTTGCTCTAGAGAGGTTTGGTTTCCTCACTTACCCAAAGAGTTTCAGAATTAAGATCTTTCTTATGCTTCCAATCTTCTTGGTACTTCACAGATTTTTTATTTTAACCATTGTATGTGTATTAATTGCATCTAACTCATGCATGTATCATTGATGTGGGCAATTACGGTGTTCCATTCACTATCCCCACCATATTGACCATTATCTGGTGATTTTAGCTGATTTTCTAAGATTAGGTTGAAGCATTGGATATTCTATGAAATTTCCCTATCACTCTACAAAAGCATTTGTTCAAAAAATAAGGATCAGAAATCAAAATCAAGTTATTAGAATGGGGGGAGGAGGAAGAAAGATAAAGAAGACTTCTATTTTCTATCTCAGAATCATAAGATTTTCAGCCTGAAATGGTTTTAACGGTCCATCCAGACTAAATTTTTCTGTGGTTTTCATATAAAAAGTAAAGAGCTCTTGCCTTAAGATGAAGTTTGGGAAATTTGTATCAGTTGTGTAATACTGTATAATTTCAGTGATCCTTCTACAAAACTCAAGAAGGCATTCATTTCACTACTTTAAAAATCTGGGATCACAGAATCTGAACTTCAGAATCTCAATATTTTTCACTTTCCACTTAAGCATAGTACTTGAACCTTTCTGCAAGTACAGCTTGTGCATATTTTTTAAAAATTTGATTAAAAATAAACAGAAATTTTCTTAGCCAGTTAAGAAAACTTTGCCTTCTATACTATTTCAAAATTTTATTTAGTTAAAAGCTCTTGTTTAAAAAATCAAAGTATGAAAACAAATCAAGTAAAAAGAATGATTATGGCACAGTCATGAAAATCATTGTGATACATTTCATCAGTGAAAGTTCTAGAGAGGGTTTTTTGTTTTGTTTTTTGGGGTTTTTTTTTCCAGTTTTTGGGCCATACTTGATGTTGCAGAGGGTTTATTCCTATGCTTTGTGCTCAGGGGTCACTCTCATTGATGTTTAGGCAATAATATGGGATGCTGGGGAATCAGACTCGGTTTGACTACATGCAAGGCAAGTGCCTTATCCACAGTACTATCACTCTGGTCCAGAGAGAGAAAACTGAGAAAGGTGTTCTGGTATGTTTCAGAGTTACAAGGAACGTTTACCCATTGAGCATTAAGATGATCACAGTCCTCCCGTTGTTCATCGATTTGCTTGAGCGGGCCCAGTAACGTCTCCATCGTGAGACCTGTTGTTACTGTGTTTGGCATATCGAATATGTCACCGGGAGCTTACCAGACTTTGGCGTGCCGGCGAGATACTCTCGGTTGTTTGCCGGGCTCTCAGAGAGGGGTGGAGGAATCGAACTCGGGTCGGCCATGTTGGCTGCCTGCAAGGCAAACGCCCTACCCACTCTGCTATCGCTTCAGCCCCGCTTAGACAAATATCTCCACTAGACATTTCAGAACCACCAAATCCATTTTTTAATTAGAATTATTTTAATACAAGTTTTAAATTTTTGAGACTGAACATATGAATCATTTAATTTTGTAACTGATCTGTTTAAAATTTTATCGCAATTTTTAAAAATTTCAGAGTCCTTAAGTTAAAATTGTGTGTTTACTTTGAGCACCTGCCTTTCAGCGAATATAGATTGGCATGGACCAACTCAACTCATCTGCATTTAAACTGTTATATGTATATTACACTTAAGAACCTGGGTTTGGAGTGACTTTCTTTCATGCTGAGGTCTACGTTTTTATAGACAGTTCTAATGAAAATGTTTTACAGATATTTACCTATACAAGACATTTTTGAAACGGATCAATCAGATTCTGAACACATGAAATTGTCTTTGCTGCCCAACCCTCCCCCCCATCTTTTTGGGTCCTTCCATGTAAAAATATGCACACATTTTCTGTAAGTCTCTAATGCTGTTACTGGCACAGAGTCTTGTAACTTGGAAAACAGTTTTCACTTACAAGTCCCCCAGGTCCTATAATATCTAAACCTCCTGTGCCACTTTATATGACCGCCCCACCCCACATAAGAGCATATACAGGAAAAGCAGACTTCCCTTCCCCCGCACATTTCCTCAGTTTATTTACAAAGCGTCTTGGAATGAGAATGAGCTGCTTGTGGTTCCTGTGGCTGATTCAGAGATACTTTCCTCTAGGCGGAAGATGCTGGTCAACCAAATGACCTCTCTGTAACTAACCCATACACCCCCCTGGTAAGGCAGTTCGAGTAGAAGCTACCTTTCTTACTAAGCCTAGTGGGATCTATTTTTGCCGTTAAAAAAAACTTAGAAATAACAAAACATTAAAGAAAGATATAATTAATAATACCGAAGGTGCATTAGAGTCTTTCCCTCCAACCACAAGAAAATCGAAGTGATAAATGTATTGGGATTTATATGTGCTTCTTTTCATGAAGTTTTACTCTCATCGGGATCAGAGGTTTCCTCTTTTGTTTCCTGCAAGGAAAATAATGCTAATGTATTCAACCAAGAATACATTAGGAAGGAAATCACAACCATCGTTAAGGGCATCAGTGTGGGAGATATGCCTTAACAATTTTCCATCAGCTCACAATAGATGTCAATGACAAATGAATCACTATAAAAAGTCTTAACATTATGTAACCTCAAATAAGCATCAGTGTTCCACATGTTTCCTTAAACCTTCTCAGCAGCTAGTCAGTTGCTTCACAAAAGACATTCATGATTCTTTAGAAAACTTAAAATTCTGAGAAGTATGTGTAGCAGTTTTCCTTACTATGAACTAGTCACCTCCTCATTAAATATATATTTAACTAAAGACATGCAAGATGAGAACCCCAAAACACTAACATTTATCTCTCTGAAAGACAAAATATTGAACATAAATTTTTATGCTCACATGTGTACTCTCATTCTATCACTCCACATGGAAATACTAGTGAGATAAGATAATGCTAAGATTTTACCATTATATCAGTTTGAACTGATAAACATTAAACTTGAATGAAAATAAATATTTTGGGGAAAGATAGTATGTGATTAACTGCATAGCTTCAGCATCAGTTTGCATAGAATCAAAGAGCAAAATTGTATTCTCTAACAGACCATATTTGGAAAAAGATATCCTAGAAGAGAAAAATCCTTACTCGTTAAGAAAGAAGAATCTTTATTCATTAAGTCTCATGATATGTTATCATATCATCTTGTTGAAGGTTATGAGACCTGTGTATTTTTTGCTACACAAATGAAACTTAAAATTAACATGTATTGATTTAAATCACATGAAAATTATCCATTCTTCATTCACCCTGGGTGCTAGTTCAATGAGAATATTTCACTACATATGCACTTGGATATTTTTTCCTGTTACATGATCTGCAGATAGTTTGAGGCAATATATTTTAATATTTGATGCTTAAATTTTAAATGCACTGAAGTGAAGAACAATACATGTGTACGTTAAAGAGAAATAGGAGGTCACAGAAAAAGATGGGCAAAAATATCAACTTGTTCAACCATTACTACAAAATCGAAGTGTAATGAAAGACAATGTATTTTCTACTCAGTAAATGACATTTAACTTCCATATTGATGATTTAACCTTTGTTGTTCTACATTTCTCCCTTCAGTGCATCCTAACGTCAGTCAAGGCTGCCAAGGAGGCTGTGCAACGTGTTCAGATTACAACGGATGTTTGTCATGTAAGCCCAGACTATTTTTTGTTCTGGAAAGAATTGGCATGAAGCAGATAGGAGTGTGTCTCTCTTCATGTCCAAGTGGATATTATGGAACTCGATATCCAGATATAAATAAGTGTACAAGTAAGTGCCTACATAAAATTATGTTTTTATCTCATCCTTGGGGGCTTTCCAGATTTGAAATGGTTTCTTACATATCTGTGATCATCAACATTTTGTGATAGGAAAATAACATTGACCTAATAATTAGGCTAACCTGTAGTTATCCCTAAGGACAGAAAATTGTTGAACACATATGAAAACTTTATCATTATCGTTGTTATTGTTATTAATGCAAAAACTGAGAACACATGCATTCATTGCCACTTCTGGAGCCTATAATTGCAAGCTTCAGTGTCATCTAAGTTTCCATCCCCATTCCTAAATCTGGGCATTTACTAACTTAAAAATCAATTAGCAATTTTAGCTTCAATTAGGATTTCAGTAGATTAGTTGAAACATTTATCAACTGTGTTTAAAGGCACTTTCTCATTGTCTCTCATCTGAACCCTGAAAGTTTAGTGCCCATGAAGTAAGTAGACCAAGTAACTTTTCAAGATAGGAGCTTAGGAAACATCATTCCTGGCCTGTCTCTACATTTGCCTCCTATGACTGCTCTTCATCTGCTTTTCACCAATTTCACTGGCCTCAGTTCAAGATCGTCCCATCTCAAGGCCTTTGCATTTATGGTCTACACTCCATCTTCTGACTGTTAGGAAATATTTTTGCCACACCTTTTGCTAGCTCGCTCTCTTCATTTAGATCCTACTTTCTTCCATCCTTTCAGAAAGATATTACATGACCATCTCATACAAAATAATAAATCTGCCCTCCTTACTACCCATATCCAAAGTTTTTACTTATCTTTTACTGTTAAAATGTTTTCCCAGGGCACTTATAACTGTGGATCCGAGCTCTTCTTTGATTTTGGACTAAGAGCATAATAAATTCAGAACCTAGTTTTTTCTCCTCTAAAAGATGGGTTCCTTCACTGGATTAATATATGGGTTACATGATTTAATTTTATAAAATATATGTAGACTGACCTACTACTATCACCATATAAAACTATTATTTTTTCTTATTTTTCCCCTTTAAAATATAAGCTTTGTGGAGCTGGGGTCTTATTTCTCCTTTGTGCACCACTATCACATATATACAACAGCATTTGGTACATAATGGAAAGTCAGACAATAGTTGATCCATGAATAGTACTCAAAAAAAAAAACACAAAGATAATACCTTGTACAAGATGCTAAAGTTCTGATGATGCATCATTTTCAGTATCATTTGATGCAAATAAATACTAGTATTATGAACATCCTTGACAGTAGATATATTGCCAAGTGTTTTTTTGTAGAGAACTCAGAACAATGATTTTGAGATCAATGATTGATGTACAGCAAATAAATTATTAAGGAGGAAATATTTAATTCATCCAGACAAAATAGTTTTGAATTCCAACTATTTGACAAAAAGTTGCATGTTCTTGTTTTGAAAGCCTGTAAAATTGAACCAATCACCATTAGATAAAAATAATGAAAGCATATTTATTTCTCTTTTTTTCCTTTTTCAGAATGCAAAGCTGACTGTGATACTTGTTTCAACAAAAATTTCTGCACAAAGTGTAAAAGTGGATTTTACTTACACCTTGGAAAGTGCCTTGACAATTGCCCAGAAGGGTTGGAAGCCAATAACCATACCATGGAGTGCATCAGTATTGGTAAGGAAGAGCTCTAGAATGTTAAAGGGTTGAGAAATCCTTAAATGATAAAGCTTAACTCAATGGAAATGCTTTCAAAGACCTCCATCACAAGAATCCAAGGGACTGTCCTTTTTGCTCAGCTAACCTTTTTTCCTAATGGTAGTCTATGCTTTTGCCAATCATGTACCTTGATATAATTCAGTGCCTTTTTTTAGTGTTGGATTATCATAGGGACTGCCAACAAGTGTTTTCACTTTTCTTATCATTGCCGATTTATTTATATCATTTAATGTTTTTCATATAGTATTATATTAGAAATACGTATATTTATTTAAACTAGAGTTATAACTTTGATCTTGAACTAAATTTATACCTCAGGGTGATGGTTTCACAAAACTCTTAAAATCTAATGTTATACAGTGACTAAAGTTATTTTCCAAGGTGTGAAAACATAGTCTCTTGCTAGAGTTCATCAACATTGCCTCCATGGAACAAAAACCTGCCAAACTGGAACTGATACAGTTAAAAATCTCACATTTTTCTCTTATGCTGCTTTGCTAAAATGCCCTGCCTGCCCAGGTATTCAGAAACAAGGAAAGGATTTTGGACTTACTCAATTTGACAGAAGGACATAGTCCGGGGTCTGATTAATTGCAGGCTGAGTTTCCTGGAGGGGAGGTCCCTCAGACAAGTTGTTTGTCTAAATAACAGATCACTGTCAGGCTACATTTTCCCTCTTTTCAATGTTGTACAGCTACTACAGCTACAAGTTTGATGAACACTTGGTTAACAGATGCTAAACCAAAAGAGAAAACAGCATACTAAATCTCAAAATCCCCTGGGCAAGAGCTAGGAGAACCTTTGATGCTGCACTCATGTTGGCATATGCACACAAATGTCCTTCTGATTCAGTACAAGATAGTCTCCAGGACTCCCCTGGGGTTCTAGCAGACAGATCCATTAGAAACTACAGTGATGAAGGAACAACTGTAAGTGGAGATTTAACCATTTCGGGTCCACCAGAGAACATTTGTTTCTTAATTACGTTTGTCGGAAAAAGATAGATGATATTTTAAAGATAGTTGTAGAAACATCTGGAAAATAACAGACTCCAAAAAGTTCACAGCTATCTTTGTTCACTCCTTTTTTGTTGTTGTTAGGAAAAACACAGCTGAAGAATAGGGTAAAAGTACAGGAGAAAGCACTTTGATCTCATCACTTTGCAGACACCAAAGGCAAATGATTTAAGTTCTTAAGTTGTGGGATAAATAGGAAACAATGCTGTGGAATATACAAGGACAGATATTCTTGAGGAGCTTCAGGAAGTTTATGGTATTTCTGTATCCAAGAAATAAAGGTATTTTTTCTTAATTTTTGAAAGTACTACATTCCATCCTTAAAAGACCATATCAAATGTATTTTAATAACACTTAGTTATTTTTTTTAAATCAGAGAGCATATTCATCAGCTGCTGCTATTTGGTTAGTTACTTGGACGTGTTGATAACTTATACTTCTAAGAGAGAGACTATTTCTTAACACAATCAAAGTAAGACTTTTTAATAATTTGGAATAGGGGCTAGCAAATACAGGTTATGAAGTGAATCAGATGCTTTTGAATTGAACCCGTAGGTACTAATAACTTCAAAGACAGTAATAACACGAATTAGCAAGTTTTGTTCAGATCAGGCTCTTGTTGTTTGCTCCAAAAGGAATGTCTGCTATCATGTGGTGTCCAGCCCACAAACATTGTGGGAGGCAAGCCTGCAGGCTTGGCACAGAGTTTTATTTTTTTAAAAAATGATGACCTGTTTGATTATCACGAAGAAACAGTAAAGCCTATTCCTTTAACAGATATGAAAATGAGAGCTAAAATGATGATCCCAAGGATGCACTGTGAGTTACAGTGAATGCTATAATTAGTATCTTGACTCTGTTCTCTTTTGCTCACCCAAGAGCTTGAAGATTGTATTACTCTCTTTGTTGAAATCCACACTGTGTGAGTTATTAGTTACCCAGATTTTACAAAGAAGAGAAGTCATAGAGTGAAAACCTATTCTGATATTGAATAGTGTTAAAAAAATTATTAGAATATATCCACCATGCTCCATGACTGGCAGGTCAACTATTTTATCAAATTAATAATAGCCACAGAATTCAATTTTGTAGGATATATTTCTCACATCTTGTGTTCCAGATAACTTTTTCTTTTCTGAATCCTCTTCTTTAATCCTCATTGCTCCTTGCATATGTATGACCTTGCTGAAGTAGTCACAGAGGGATGATATCTAACTACAAACATTTAAGAATCAAGGAACATGCCCTGGCTTTAATCTCTATGGGATCGTGCAGTTAGTCAGCAAGAATTCAAGATCACATAAGTACTTTAAGGATCTTTGTTGTGATATATCTAGTTTAATTTTTTTCCCAAAGCAAAAATTCTTTTCATAGTATTCAGACTGACAGGATGAGCATTTCTAAGGGACTGGGATCTCATTACTTTTTTAAACCTTATTTCCTTAGTAAATACTTAAAGTTTTCCAACAGAGAAAAGGCTCAAGTGAATGAAGCATGTGATTTGTACTTACAAGATCTAAGTTTGGTATCCAGCATTGCACAGTTCCCCAAGCACCATCCAAGAACAAGTCCTGAGCACCAAGCTGGGAATAGCCCTGAGCACCACCATATGTGTCTCTTTGAGCTATTTTCTAACGTTTCATTATTCAATAAATTTTTTAACATCATCATCATAGGTTTATTCTAAATTATTTTGTTTTAAAAATTCTCCTCTTGTCAAACTTTTTTACTGTATAATCTTTTATAGCTTATGAACTACCTTGATCTCATTTATTTTGATTTTTTTGCCTACCTTTTTTCTCAATAAAATTGACAAAGATTGCAACTAGAGTTTTATACTTAGAACTACTCATCACTCCACTAAAGACTAACAGATACCTATGCTGCAAATTTTTCGTCTATTTATTCTGAAAACTAGGCATCCATTTGCCTAAATGACCTTTATTATTATAAAAAGAAACCCTGAAGTTCTGGTAACATCCACATTATGTAAATATTTCTAATGGTGTCCTTGTAGTTTTAGCATTAAATACAAGCCAAAGTGACAGCTCATGTTTTTAAATTTTCCTACTTGATTTCCTGAATGTGCTTTTATTTGAATGTTCTAAAAATACACTGCTGTTTAATAATTAATATCAAGTTGAGAAATGAATCTTTAGTTGGCGACAGTCATTAAACGACTGGCTGTTCTGTCTTTACCAAAATAATAACGGCACAAATCAGGGTGAAGATTATTTAGAAAATGATTCAATAAAGGTCATTTAAGTTCAAAAAAGTTAAATCCACTTATCTAATAATTTCATTTAACTATATTGCATTCAGATATTTAAAGGTGAATAAAAATAATATGGAAAAATATGTGTTTAGTGGACTTATATTTCTAAAATATTTGTTTTCTTTCATTAGACTGGAAGGTAGTCATTGCTTTTAAATTAAGAATTCTTTAAATAAGAAATGAGTATGGAAGTTATTGGGACCTTCTACCCAACTAGAATCATATTATCTGAAAGAGTTACTGTGGCAGCTGTAACTGTCACTGAAAGTTTAAGAAGTATTCTTGGATATAGGTATATGTGATAACAGCTTTCACATATTTATTTTCATTAGAAGGGCAAAAAATATGTTGAGACCTCAAAAACTAATTTAAAGAGAAATTAGAAATGAATACATATCAGAAAAATTGAAAAAATCTCCTTTAAAAAGTTTTTTAAATGTGCATCAGTTCTTAAAAAATCAAGCAGTTCACTTTAGAAATAACTAGCTTGGAGTAAGACCTGAAGTTGATTTTGAATTTGCTTAGAACTAATCCTATATACCTGAAACAGACCCATTAATAAACAACAATATATAGGTCTCCCAAAGCACATATAGTAAAGGCAATTAAGAATAGACCCAAGATCTCAATTTAATATTTGATTAATCCTTCTCTAGCACAAACGTTCTCAAAGTATTTCCCAGTACCTGCAAATCAACATAACAGATATAGCTATAAATGCAAAAATCTTAGGCCTCTAAAACTCTAAAACAATGAAATCAGAAATTTTTGGAGTGAGGTTGAGCATTCTGTTTTAGCAACCCTTCCAGATTTGCTATGAGTCAGTTCTCTAGCACATATTAACAACTATCTTGTCAAGTTATATATAATTAGTACCAATCTTTCATTTAAAAGTGCTTTAGAAATCGTGAAATATTGGTCAATGGTAAACAATTCTATGTCTGCCTGGCTAATTAAATTTAGAGCAAAAACTAAACCTAATGAAAGAATTAGTGTACCTGATAAGGAATTAAAAAAAAAAAAAACCTGAACACACTATGTTCCTGTTTTTTTCCTGTTTGTTTTACTTTTAAGTCAACTTACCCATTCTTGTTTTGCAGAAGTTCTGCTCAGAACTTGGGCAAGTACTGATGGAAGCAAAACCTTGTTGTTTATTTAACAGTCGTGACAGCATTGGGGAACCAGCTAAGGCTGTTTCTGATGTTCTGTTTCAGTGCACTGTGAGATCAGTGAATGGAGTCCTTGGAGTCCATGCATGAAGAAAGGAAAAACATGTGGCTTCAAAAGAGGGACTGAAACACGGGTCCGAGAAATAATACAGCATCCCTCAGCCAAGGGTAACCTGTGTCCTCCCACCAGTGAGACAAGAAAGTGTACAGTGCAAAGAAAGAAGTGTCAGAAAGGAGAAAGAGGTACAATCATACTAACACAATGTGTTCAATTGAATCTTTGTCCTTTGATGGAGATCTCATTTTTCTTTCTTAAGAAATCTTTAGCAATATTACTGTGTCTAAATCCCTAAGAAGTATACCAAAGAATATGTTGGCTGCAAATGACAGAACACAGATGTGGTTCTTTTTAAATGGAGCCTTATATCAGAATTTTAAACTATGAAAGAAGTGTGCTAATTGAATCCTGATGAAGGAGGCTGTGTTATAAGCATTTAAGCCTTGTTTTTTCTTTGGGGCCATATTTCTCCTATCATCCACCTTCCTAGTATATGGAAAACTCTTGGGAAATCTTATAAACACAGGATCTACTGCATTTGGCCATCAACTTACTGATTTTTGCATCTCATATAAAAAAAGTACTGTGACTAGACTGCAAGTTTTCATAGCTAAAAATATTTCAAAGACTACACAAAAGTTTTTAAATGTATAACCTGATATATGTTGTAATTATTTGTTTGCTAAGGTAAAATTAGTACACAAGAGTATAACCATGATTTTTTGACACATATTTTTAGTATTGGTCTTATACTTAAATTAAATGTCTGAAGTCATATTTTATTACAAGTATTTATGACATTTTTCCAATTTTTTTATGTATATTACCTTTGTACACCACATTACTGATTTTTTTGGTAAATATTAAGTAGCTAAGTCAGAGTTTATTTGGAAGTCCTGTAAATGCTAAAGTTACCACTGAATGTGATCCTTAGGGTAATTAAAATTCTACTTAGGAGATCTGAAATTGTAGACTTTTCAAATACAACGTTTATGTTGTCATCACTAATGTCTTCAGCACCCCTTACTATAAATTTGTTTTGCAGCCTTATGTAACTATTTATATTCTCTGGTAAGCCAGTGAGAGAACCTTTCAGATTAATTGCACCCTGAAGAAAGTTTGGCTACCTCTATAGTTGGACTTCCTCCATATATTTCATTTATTCATTAACTCATTGATTCATTTATTCATTCCACATAGTTTTATTGATTCCTTACTTTATGGTCACACATAGTGATGAGCTCTGAGACTTCTCTATTAAATAGATATTATCTATTTTGTCAAGTGCAATGGGGTCATTGAAATGTTTAAATAGATAATCATAATATCTCTTAGTAAGGGACATTGGAGGTGTGTGAACGAAATTTAATGAGAACACAAAAGAGGGTGCTGCACACACTTAACCATTCAAGAAATTTGGATCCCCTGCACTTTGCAAAATAATTATCACTAAACCAAAAACATTAGCTATCATCAGAATGTGCAATGCTTATGGTCTCCATTAATAAATAGGTGGTTGAATGTGATAGAATTCTTGAAGACAAGGCTCACCTTAGAGGGGAACTTCAAATCTTTGGTAAATTTAAAGGAGGTTTTTAGTTAAAATTAGACTTAAAGACTGAAAGTTGGCTAGTTAAAAATGTTCTGCATTTTTTAATCAATTAATTTAAAACATCATATATTTTTAAAAGTTGGATTTGAAAATCAAATATTTCATCATTCTGCTTGTTGGTAAGCTCCCATAACTGTACATTTACTTATTTATTTTTTAATGAGTTACATGTGGTCTTCATTCATACTAATTTTGGGGATTAGTAAATTAGCATTCTATTTTCCTCTTAAAATCAAAGTGAAGAAAATTTTATTCAATAAAAAATTAATTTAATTTTATTTTATTTTTTATTTTATTTATTTTATTTTTTTCTTTTATTTCATGATATAGTCTTTTAATGTATTTTGATGAGATTTAAATATTAACATTGAAAATATCTGACATTAAAGTTAGTTGCAGGTAGATAAATAATGCCATACTAAATTTAAAATACTTACCTATGATATAAGTTTAGCTTGAAAATTTCTCTCGTCCTTTTATTTATTAACAGAGTTAAATATAGTGACATGACACTCTATAAAGAGAAATATGAATAATTAGGAAAATTTAGTTGACTTATTTTTCACATTAGATAAACACATTACTTGCTAAGTAAGACATGTGGATAATACTTACTATTAAATTCCAGATTTTGTCCCACTTCTATCTAATCTTCTTTCTTGATTTCTACATGTGACAATTTTTTTTCAGTGACCTGGAAAGTTTTGAAAATCATCTCTTGCTTCATTCTCTAATATCTAAACATATAATTTTTCTTTATTTCTATTTATAGCAGCTTACCAAATATCTTATTTAAATATAAAGAAACCAAGTAGAAGGCCAGAGAGATAGCTCAATAGATTAAGAGTATGCTTTGCATGCAGGTGGCCAGGGTTTGATAACCCCTGAGTACCATCAAGGATCACTCCTGAGCACACAGCCAGGTGTAACCCCTAAGAACTTTTAGGTGTCCTCCCAACCCAAGAAAGAAAAGAAAAGAAACACACTAAATAAAAAGTCATTGCGACCTCTGTGTATATCATTATGTCAATTATTATATCAAAATACTAACATTTATTCTTGTTACTCAATTTTGACATATATTTATAAAGATAAATATAATAAAGTTATATAAAGACATGATTAATCCTACTTTTCTATACTCTAGAGTTATTTGCAATTGTTGATAGATTACAAAGAATCTCTTTTAGGCAAACAGTATTTGAGGGCTGGGAGATGTCTCAAAGAAATAGTGTGCGTGATTTGTATGTAGAAATCCTTGTTACCATGCCCAGCCCTGAATGGCCCCTATTCCCTGGGCACTATAAGAAATTACCTTAAGAAAATTCCTGAAACTACTTCTAGAGTCCCACTGAGAATGGAACCCAAACCAAAACCAAGCAGAAAAACAGTACTTAAAATGAAAAAAGCAAGTGAAAATGTAGAAAATGATCTTCTAATGATTCTCAACTTATATTCACTGGCTATTTTGATTGACACTGGGTGCAACAATCCTAGTTAAGGAAAAGTGAAACTTGACAAAGAAATGTACGTGTGTGTGAGTTGCATGAGCTTGCACAGAGTCTGCACATCAGACAAAAGGGTGAATTTTGTTATTTATTGGGGAGAAGGAGAGGGGACTAAGGAAGTAAGATCACCAAACATGTTTCTCATACATTGGTACATTCCTCTAAGGAATTTCTAATAGCTATATGATTTTAAGGCAAGTGTCTAAGGATGAGATCTTTGACTAATTGCATAAAGAGGATACTAAATAATTGCATAATACATGATTTTTTATCCCAAATCATGATCTTGGGATTAAAAATAAAAAGGGAAAAAAGATTCATAATGGATCAGGATGTACTATATTTAAACTTATAGGAAACTCAGTTTTTAATAGTCAAGCAAATATAGGGGTCTGTTTTTTACTAGATTTGTTTCTTTTAATTGCCTCATATTTTTCATAGCTTGCTGGTGATAAATAGTTGAGTTTTCTAAAAGAAGGCTATATATTAAACATTCACTCAAATTCAAAACACATATGTAGCCCAGACACAGTTAACATTCATCAATATCCAAATTAATTCATCAGCTCAATATTATAAAATTCCAATAGAATTAGGGTATTTTTTTCTCTACCATCAACTCATGTACAGTAGAATATAGGTACTTATCCTGTTGAAACTCAGGAAGTTGTGAATTCTCTGCTCTTTCCTAAAACCCACTCAGTACTTTGACACAGATTGTAGAAAATTCAAGAAAGTACAGAACTGAGATAAAAGAGAAATTAAACTAAAGAAAAATATGGTGGATATTTCTCAAAAAATATCATAAAAATATGTATCATGTGATCAAGCATTCCACTCCTAGACATCCCCAAAACAAAAAGTTCGTAATTCAAAAAGCTACATACATACCTATGTTTATTGCAGCCTTATTTATATTAACCAAGATCTATAAGGCAATTCAAGTGAGTGGATGAAAAGGTTGCAGTGTGTAGACAACTATAAGAAGAGATGAAATCTTTCTTTTTGCTATATTATGGCTAGAACTGAAGAATATCATGTTAAGCAATGTCGGAAGAACAAATATTTGACGATCTCCATTCATATGTGGCATATAAAGAAACAAAATGAGGGAATAGCCAATATCTTCTGAAACAACTCTTAAGAATCAGATAACAACAGTCGTTATTTTAAGGGAGCAAGGTGGAGTCATAGGGATAATCAGATTGACTCTGGAGGATGGTTACTGGCAATTTGTTTGTGGGCATGGTGTATATTGTACCCCTAAGAAATACAAATATTTATAGTCATAAATCATTTTACCTCAATAAATCTATCATTCTTTAGAATTTCAACCAAAAAGAAAAAGAAATAAAGGCATTAGAGACTGTTACTCTCAACCAGGCATGATTTTGCTCCCAAGAGGACACTTCAGATTATCAGGATTTGGAGAAAGAAGAAAGAAGATACTAGTGGCATCTAGTGGTAAATATCCCACAGTGCACAGGACTGACAACAACCAAAAGTATCTACTAATAGTGCTAAGGATAAGATCTTGGGATACATTCAACAATCTCTCTTTTTTTATCTTCTTGGGGTCTAGTCAGTCCCTACTAATATGAGTTATTTATTTAAACTCTGGAGAGGAAGACAAGTCACCACCAATGAAAACCTGATCAAAAGTCTGGAGAATAAGAACAACATGGTATAACAGAGGAGAGATATTTGCTCCCCAATAGAAAGATAATGATCAATTTTGTTAAAATTAATTTTCTTTTAATTTAAAATATTCCCATACCTGATCAAAAATAGCAGTGTCTAAAATGTTTAGTACCCCATTGCAACAAATAGCACGTTTCACTTTTAGAAGAATATTGCTTTATATAATATATGTATATTATATTAATGTAATAGGGCTGGAGCAATAGCACAGCGGGTAGGACGTTTGCCTTGCACGCGGCCAACCGGGTCGACCCAGGTTGGATTTCTCTGCCCCTCTCGGAGAGCCCGGCAAACTACCGAAAGCATTGTGCCCTCACGGCAAAGCCTGGCAAGCTACCCGTGATGTATTGGATATGCCAAATAC